TTCCACCTCCGTGCTTGACTGTGAGGATGATGTTCTGTGGGTCACGTTCAGCATTTCTATTCTTCCACAAATGTCTGCTTGAGTTGATGCCAATGAGTTCACTGTTAGTCTAATCTGACAGTTTCATTTTGTTTTCTCCAGCCTTTCTATCACTTCAATGGCTATGTTAAAGCAGGGCTGTCAGGCAGTCTGGCTCATAGGACCTGACACCACAGAGGAATCCAACCCTGAAAAACCTCATCCACGAGCCCAAACAAAAGAACAGACTACTCCTTGACTTTATCTTCTTTGCACAGCTTCACTATGTTCAAAATGTTTTTTTAAAGGAAGTTCAGAGACAGTGGGGAAGAAAGTATTAAATCTTTGCTCATGTTTTCAAATATTCTATCTCAATGTAGTGGCATTGTTTGAAAAACTTTGTACAACTTGATGCAAATGTAAATTTTCTCTTAATTCTGGCACTAATTTTGTATAAATTCTGCAATCTCATGCCACTTGGACAAATCTCTCATTCTTGATCAAAAGCAGTTATTCTGATTTTAAAAACTGAAGAGTTCATCCAGCAGATTAAGCAGTCAGAGTGAGAGAACGCTTCAGTTCTGAAACTTTGACTCAAATCATCCATCTTCTCCTTTTTCCATCAGGTTCAGACTTAATTACTACTTCAGGCAGAGGACCAAACAGCTGAAGCTCTTGCATGTTCCTGTTTTCACTTTTATTGTAATCCGCTCCTCCCTGTGGCAGGATCTTGCATCACCTGCCACAGGTTGATGCTTTCTCTGCTGGAACCCCCCCAAAGCTCTTCTGTCTGGACTCTTCATGGAGACATGCTTTAGTTCTCAATACTTATTAGGGTTGGGTAGAAAATCGTATCGTGTGCAATTAATCGTCAAAAAAAWATTACCGGTAATCGATTATTTTTTTGCACTTGACGATTAATACTTTTAATGACACCAGGCAGCTTGGTGCTCCTCTCTGCTTCAACTGATGAACATTTTAATAAAGTTCTGTAATTTATTTATCTATCAACACTATTTTAAACTTGATGTATAGTCTGAAGTCTGTAATTTTGACACAGTTTGTAACAGATTTTTACAAAGAGCAAATCTTTCCCACTAAATTGGTCATGTGACCAGGACATAAAGGTGTCCAGGGACTCCAGGGGATTAATCATCAAATTAATTGTTATCGGATAAATACCACAATTAATCATGATTAATTTTTTTGCCAATATTGCCCAACCCTAATACTTATCTATACTGCTGTGACATTTATGGAGTATGCAGAGAGGGCAAAAAGCTAAAGGTTAATGGCTTAGACCTTTTTTTTATAGCTTTTTAAAGTTTTTAAAACAACTCAATCCAGCAGAGAACCTCTGGTTTGATCTRAAGATTGTTGGACACCAGAACTGATCCAGGAGCTGCAGTTTAGTAAAAATACAAAAGATTTAGCTTAGATGAACCAAACTCATGGAGACAAACAGGAAGGACCTTAAAGTGCTGGCAGAATGTATCAGTTTTATGTTTTATACATAGTAGAATAGTTTCAAACAAGTTTTCCTGCAATTTAAAAAGCAGAATTAGAACTTATAATAATTAAGAAATTTTAAAAAATCCAATTAAACTCCAAATTGCAAATCAACTAAAAGGTAAGTGTGTATACACACAATCATGTAATCATTTTTGTTAAYGTTTGGTATTTTGCCTAAAAGTATTACACCTATAAAAGCATTACACCTATTTGTTCTGGCTAAGAGGTTCATCCTTCATGTTATTTATAATTATTATTAATTTAATAATCACCTAAAAGTCAAATAACTTTCTAACTTTAATATAAGGCTATTTTTTTTATATAAATCAAAGTCTGAATTATAAAAGACAGGGATACGAGAACAGATTGAGAGCTTTCATTACCTAGTTAAGGGCCACGCAGAAAAGAACTTCATCCTCAAAGCTTTAAAACAATTAGCTCTCCAGGCTTTGTTCTTTTCTTTTCTGTCATGTAAKTATTTATTTATGAAAACATACAATTGGACCAAAACTGGAATAAAGTCGAGAGGCTGCTCTGTGAGCAAACACAACGCACAGAGGTTAACTGTGTCAGCGCACCAAAGACAAAATAAAATGTTGTGTTTTAGGATTAACCTGCTGCAGAGCTTTTGGGAAATTTAAACCAAAATACAAACAAACAAGAAGCAGAAATCTTTATAAAAGGCACTGAGCCTGACTGATTGGCTGCCTGGGCCTAATTAGTGCGCAACGCTGTACAGGTGTGTTCCTCCGCCCTGGCGCGTGGCTCTGCTCCGGACCTGTTGCTCCAGGAGGCCGCTGTGGCTCGAAAGTGATAAGAGGGCGACGCGTTGATTACTGTACCTGGACCTGTTCGTCGCCATAATGAAGGTGCCGGAGACGGAACTAATGAGCGACATTCTGAGGCGGCTCACAGGTGAGTCGGCGCTGCCTGTTTACTGCAGCATCGAGAAGTTCAAACGCGGAGGAGGAGGGCTGTACTTCGTCGCCGAGGACTTCAACGAAACCGTGAAGAAACGAGAGATGGTCAACGCCAAGGAGCGACAGAGAGTGAGTTTTACTGGGAAAAGGTTTGGTAATGATATTTGTCTACCTTTATGTCCGGCCTGGTGATAGTTTGACTGACAGCAGGCAACCACTGTGACTCCTCCCAAGCGTTAAATCATTATTAGCCTACAAATGTGTCTTAACAAAAGTGATTTTAGCTGGTGATGGTGACAGGAAGCTTCCAACTGGTCCACACAAGTGAAGCATCGTCACGCTTCACTTGCTCTACTGCGCCAYCAAGTGGACAAGTGTGAACTAGTTTATAATGACGTGACTTGTTAATGAAGCTTTAAGTTGAATAAAGAACAATGCATGTGTGTTTGTGATGACCATAAATAGTCTAAATTTGATTTGAATATAAATTTAATCTCTCTTGATTATAGAGTCATCATTGATCATGTGATAGAATGAAAAAAGGAAAGGAAAGCGCATGGAGAAAAATAGGGAAAGTATTGATGTGAATGTGCTTATGTGGTTTTGAGATGGTGCTGATGATATCAGACACATTTTTATTAATTTGAACTTAAAAATAACTTTAAAAAGTAAATTCTTTTTTATTTAAAAGCAGAACAAATACATACACAAATATAAGTCAAAAATAAAATGAAAGGCAGCAGAAAAAGAAAAAAATCTTATTAAATCTTGTTAAATCTTAACTTTCTCATTTACAAAGAGACAAAAAACTGTTGATATTCCATTTAGAGTTGGTGTAGGGATGAGTAGAGTCAGTGAGGTAAAGTTTTTGGATGTCATTATTGATGAGAAACTGACATGGAAACCTCATATAAATGATGTAAGAATAAAGCTAGCAAAATCTATTGCATTGCTCTACAAAGTAAGGGACTTGTTCAATGATAAAGCTCTGTATRTRTWACMCATTAATTGTTCCACACTTGGTCTATTGTGTTGAGGTATGGGGAAAGGCATGTAAGACTATTACAAATCCTGTTTTTATTTAGCAAAAAAGGGTTATAAGAGTCATCACAAGAAAAAAATTACCTTTATCCCTCTAATGTATTATTTTGTAAACTGAAGTTGATGAAGTTATATGTCCTGATGCATCTCAGTAATCCAGGTAAAAAATCAAAAAGAAAAAAATTGTGTAGGTCTTCTTGACGGGTTCTTCTCTAATGAAATTTTTCGTCTCTCCTACAAGAGACTTCTTCAGTCTGAGAGTTTCAGGCAAAATTTGAGAGAGGAGTAAAAGAAGCCATTTTTGTGAAGAAAGACCGTCCATCATTAAACAGAGGTGGGGGCCTCCGTTTTCAGTTGTCCCCCTCCTACAGCGCGGCTTTTGCCAGTATCACTCCACCCCCTGGTGACAATAAGTGTTAATTAGGTGTCAACAATAGCCATGTGATGTATCAGTCACATCACAAAAGCCTGAATTTTGCCTGAAACTCTCAGACTGAAGAAGTCTCTTGGAGAAGAGACGAAACGTTTCATTAGAGAAGAACCCGTCCAGARGACCTATACAATATTTTTTCTTTATGAAGTTATATGATTTGATTATAATATTATGTATAAGCACACCGAAATGTATTTACCTTTTTAAACGTTCAGATAAACTTTACAAAGAGAAAAAGCTGTTATAAAACTTGAGGGAAAAGAGATGTTCATGATTCCTAAAATTAGAACATGCCTGAAAGAACGATGCACCTCAGTTCAAGGAGTGAGACTGTGGAATGGTTTGGAAAACGTCATTAAAATGCCTCAACAATATGTATGTTTAAGAGAATGATAAAGACTGGACTGTTGAAAGAATATGAAATGGTTTAATATGTAGACGTTCACATGGTGGTTCTAGAAAGTTTCAGTGTTTTGTTTTATTTTAGTAACTGAAAAATCTTTATAATTTGAATTTGTAAAAAAGGGGCAGATATAAGATTTTCTTCTCTCTGCCACCTTTCATTTTATGTGTATTTCTTTTTATGGTACATGGAAAATATTTTTTTATGTTTTATGAAATTAATAATTATCATCGTCATCATCGTACTATGATCCAGACAGTTTCTTTTTTTTTAATACATGAGGCATCTGCTGTATTTGAACATAAGATGCCTCACCTTTAAGACACCAGAAATTGGGAAAAAAAAAACAAAAAAACAAATCAGAACTCACGATCCAGTGAGTTTTTTGACATTTTGGTAGTTATTATCAGTAATGTTTTAATACTTGGTGGTGTTGTGATGATTATGAGACTGGGGGAAATTTCCTCTTGATGGTTCCATTGGGCAAAAAGTCACTCAGCTGAATAACTTAAATKCACACAATACAATTTCATAACAGCATAGTGTTATGGGAGATTCAGCTTGTTTACTGCCTCTTTGGAATCTCGCGCATTCAGACGACCAGTCCCTGAATCAGTCACGTGGTACGCCCCGCCAGCGAGACTTCGAGCGTCACTACAAGCGTCACCAACACAAGCCTCAGTACACACTCCACAAAAATCCTCCTCTATTACGCTGCACACGCCTCGAAGCCTCGGCACACAAGGACACATGACTAATTTTAGTCGAGTCCCATGAGCTTGCACGTTACTTTCAAGGTTTGACCAAATCATTCATTTCTGAATGTAGATCTATGCTCTAAAACAGAGGTTCTCAAACTGGGGTCCCAGGGCCCTCAGGGGTCCGTGAGCTGTAGCTTGGGGGTCCTCAAAAGATTACAATAAGTTGTTGATATTGATTTGTTTTTATTTTTTAGTATTGATTGTGGGACATTACACAAGTAAAAGAAACATGGCTACTAAATGAAAAATATTTTTTTATTCTCATGGCATTTAGACGTAAAAATAGCAGTAAATAATTTTAAATCAGCATGAGTTTTATGAGGGGGTACCTGGAAATGTTTTACCTTTTTGTAAGGGTCCCCAGACCAAAAACATTTGAGAASCCCTGCTCTAAAACACTTGTAAAAGTTAGTAGGCAATATGTAAGGAAAGCTAGGTTTTTCAAATCCTTTCAAAAAGCTGTAAACACCACATTCAAGGGGGCAAACACAGCCGGCCCGCCACCCTCAGGAGAACTGCTTATAGACCGAGTCCAGCTCGCTCAAGGCAAAAGTCTGAGTGCTGATAGAACGGCAATCCTTCATATTGATCAGGCAGCCAGGAAATGAACAGCCACCMACGCTGTTTGTAGAACACCAGGGGCCTCATGTATAAAGGGTGCGTACGCATAAAGTTGTGCGCCAGGTTCTACGCCCATGTTGGGATGCATCAAAACCAACGTTGCGTGAAAGTGTGCATAAATATACGCACACTTTTCACCTGCCGTGAGAATGTGCGGCAGCTACGCAAAGTTTTTCAGTCGACATTTTTAACCCACAAAGTCATGAATCTGACCTGAATCCACAGAAATATGACTTTGTGTTTTCTGGATGTAAGGAGCGTCTGAACACGGGGTTAGATTTTTATTTTTAGTTTGAGTTTTGTTGTTTAAACTCGAACGATCGTGAAACTGAACCCTGGTGCTGAAAATCATTTAACCTCAGACAAGAAAATAGATCAGTCTAAAAATGATCAAACCTCAGCCCAGTCTACTGTAAACTGTTTTTATATTTTTCTCACAGTTGAAAACCTTTTGCGTCCCGGACCGGAAAAACCCAACACAATATGTGCGGCAAAGTTTGTTTTTCACTGTGGAACAGTGGATGTTAGCGAAGTGTGTTGATACACCCTCGAACCCGTTATAAAACCCGTGGAGACAAAGCTTTTCAGGTGGTGGCCCCGAGGCTCTGGAACGCTCTCCCTCTGTCCCTTCGCTGCTCAGATTCTACTGACTCTTTTAAGAAACATCTTAAGACATTTTTATTCACACAGGCTTTTAGTTAAGTGCTTTTTATTGTGTTTTATTTGTTGTTTTTATATCTGTGATCTGTTTTATTGTTTTTAGTTATTTTTGCTTTCTGTGAAGCGCTTTGATGTTTGTCTGTGAAAGGTGCTATAGAAATAAAGTTTACTTACTTAACTCATCTTCATCACTTGACACATTTCACAACCTGTCATTGGTTGAGGAGGTTTTRCAAAACAAATGTCATGTTTTTTTGTTTTCACTTCCAGGCTTTCTGAGACTCGAGTTGATTTGATGTTGCAGTTTGGTGAGATGTGCCTTGTAATGTTCTATACCTTCTCTGCTATTTTTGCATTAGATTTTAAAAAGTTTTAGTTTTTAGGATACGAGTTGCTTCACACAAAAACCCGCATGTGAGCTCCCCCCCCCCCCCACCCACCCAAAAAGATTTCTGGTGATATCTTGAACACTACAGTATGAGCAAAAACGGATGACAAGAAGGTGAAATGGTCTCAAAGGCTCCAATGTTTCAGCTATGACCTGCAGCAAGAAAAGTAGCTGATTTCACCTAAACAAACATCCATAAYTTCCTTCATACTTGAGCTAATCACGTGATTTTGGTGTTACTTTGTAGTGTTTTTTAATGTTTTTGAATCTGCTGTCAGATTTGATATTTGTGTGGTATAAAAATGTTATCCACATCTCTACAAACTGCTGCTGCCAGCAGAAACATTTTTTGTTGAGATGTTGTGACTTTAGAAAAGTTTGAAATGAGTGAGGCCACCATCAGAGCCTCACAGTAAAAATGACGTGTCTGCTTCTTTTTCTGTGCAGATCAGGAACTTGAACACCATGTTCTCGCGCTTGAAACGCATGGTGCCWTTTATGCGTCCTGATCGAAAACCCAGTAAAGTGGACACACTTAAAGCAGCGACGGAGTACATTCGACTGCTTCTTGCTGTTTTGCGAGACACAGACGTGAGTACTCCATTCAGATTCACTCTCCTCAAATGATGCTTGTCCTCTGAATTTCCAAGGGCAGTACTGAGGCTTGTTTTGAAATGTTTTTTTTTTCTCACTCAGAATGATGGCATGGGAACTGATTTCCTAAAGAATGCAATCACTTACAGTCAAACCGAAGGCCTTGGCAATGATCTSTGGAGAATGGATGATGTGAGTTTTTTTTCCTTTCTCCACTGTGTAATTAAACTGAGCTACAACTTTACTACATTTATTAATTTTAATGTTATGAAACCAGAATTTTAAGGACAGGATTAGACAGAAAAATCAGTCTTCTCTGTATCAAATTCAGGTGGGAGGAAACATCCACTCATGTTGCTGTGTCCTTCAGGTTTTCATGAAAAACTTCTGTGCATAATTTACTTCAGTACAAAATGACTTTCGGCCACCTGCTGCAGAATAATATTCACATATTTAAACTTTAATAAATTATTTTTATTTATTGCTCTGTGGGAAGTATTCAATTTGGCATCATGGTTTACAAAACTGTCTAGAAATATTAGTGTCATATTGGTGTCTTTTTACCATTCAAWTTAAACTATAAGCTTTTAACCAGAACTGTTGAAATACAGGCCCTGATTGAATTTTTTTTTATTCCCCAAAGATGAAATTAACCTTTTTTTAATATGATGCTTGATCTGTTGATGGTAGAAAATGCTCAGAATATCTAAGTTCTGTTCTTTGTAAAGGTTTTGAGCGATTATCTTGCCTGTTGTAGAGCTCTTTAAAAGGAGGCTGATCAGTGTGATGTATTGGTTAGCAAAGAAAACTGTCAGTCATAATGCTGTGATGCCATTCAGAAAGTAGATCTAAAAGTGTTTATGCTTCTATAATGATAGCCTATAAAAACACAGTATTCTGCCATTTGTGTAACTACGAGTGTTTTGACTGAGGTGTCGGACGCAAGTAAAAAACAGAACGTTGTTTTTTTTTTTTTTTATTTTATAAATGCTTTTGTTCTAAAAGTGCAAAAACTATTTTTCAATAACCAGGAGAGATGCCTCCCTTTTTTTTCCCCTAATGGTCAAAATAGAAGCCTTGAAGCATTTAACAGTCTGATAAATATTGATGCCTTAATTTGTAGTTTTTAGTTTTAGATGTTGAGCACTTTTTAACTCAAACTGTATTTATTAGTGGAATAAACCATTTACAYGTTTCTTTTCGACAGCTGCTTAACATATCAGATGAACACCTGGATGATGGGTTCACCATCCCCTCCGAACTGTCAGCAGAGGACAATGACATGACCAGACTGGTGCTGCAGCACTGTGTGATGCCTGCATACCAGTTCATCATTCAGGTTGCTCCTGATCAGGCTCCGGTAACTCATCTTCTGTCCTTCATGCTGATCTGGTCTGACTCTGCTGATGTTCACTTTGGCTGTGGAAGGAAAGATGGGCTGTGGAGGTTTTGAGCTTTTGTGCAAAGTTTGATTATCTCAAAAGAACAACTTTCTTACTTGAGCTTTTTTTAAATGGTTTAGTTTAACATCATAGTTGTAATTTATCTTCATTTAGGAGGCAGGCACTAAGTGTGTTTTTGAGCAATTTTCAGTAACCCTCTACTGAAACTCTCTTCAGTAAGTCATTCAGGTTTTTGTGAACTAAGGCTTATTGTTCAGTTCACCTCTTGGAATTGATTATTCAAATATTTTAAATTTGCTCATCTTCAAAACATTTGAGCTTTTGTAATTAAATTAGTTGGACCTTTTTGTGAAGACATTTTAAATGAAAATTTAACATCTTGAGCAGATCACAGTTTAAATGAGTTTGAAGATGTTTTTTGGCTTAAATTTTTTTTCAGCTTGGCTTTTTAAAATATGAATAGAATAAAAATACTTTACTATGTGTTGTTAATCAAGCGCTCACGTACTGCAGTAAGAGGATTAAATAAATGGAAAAATCTGTTTTCTGCAAATGATGCAGCCTTCGAAACAAAAGCCGARCAAGATTAATTTACAATTCCTGAAAGATGAACTCTGCCAACAATAAGCAATCAGATGCACGTTTGATTCCAGAAATGATCTGGCAGCAATGCACTGCAATTACAACCGGCAATCAGCACAAAGCATTTGATTGTCTAACACATCTGAAACATTAAAACCATCTTCACAAGTGCTTCATMGTCTGATTGGACAATTTAGGGTGAAGTAGTTTAGATCAAGGCAGGACCCCAAACCCACACACACACTTTCTTCACCTTCRTTCACATTTGTTTCATTTCACGGTTAAAAGAACTGATCTGACATTCAGTGAAGACAGTCAATATGTTTTTCCCCCCGTGAGCTGTAGAAGTCTTAAAYGTGGATCATACAAATGAAAAATAAAGCCTTGATTCAAATGAACAAAACAATATTTTTGTCAGACTATAATTGGAATATTAAACTGGCTTTTTGTTTTAGAAGAGACTTCTAATATCAATGTTGTGAATTTTCTGCTTCATTCAGCAGMTGTCTCAACCCTGCTGAGTGTTAAGATCAGGGTCACTGGACCAAGGCTGAAATTCTGCCAGGTTGGTTTTGTATTTATTTGTTTTCAGTACAGTTTCACTACTTTGGTGTGCAGTTCTAGGAAATATGACTTTAATGCTTTGTCTGCTTTTAGCACTTTGTCTAATGTAATCACCTGTGCTCTTCATAGGGGACCAAAGCTTGGTCCTCGTGCAGCGGAGCATCAGTGGTGATTGGGTTTAGAGTTGAAATGTGAAGTTTAAGCTGAGCTCAGGGTTTGCTATAAAACTGTTCTACTGACAAATATCAACCTGTGCTTTAAGGCAGAATGTAAACATTTTTATTAATGATAAAGACTAAATGGTCACAATGCTGTAATTTGTACATTAATGTACGTTCTATAGTTTATTTGTTTTAAATTTCTTGTCAGACTGAAGCATCTCATTGCAAAAAATATTTCCCTTTACAAAAATCCAAACTATCACTATGCTGCCCCCTTGTGGTTGTGTTTTTTAGTTTTAAGTTCATTAAGCTTTGTCACTCTGTGGGGAAATAAATTCTCTGCATTTTTCTCATCACACATGTGAGGGCACATGTGGAGTAGTGCACTGCCATTTCTGAGACGCCTGAGGAGCCACTGAGTCTAGCCTCCAACATTCAGGGAGGTTTCATTGATTTTCTGCAACCAGAACTGAATTGATTTTAAGTGTTTTCAGTWTCATAGGTTCATCTTGAAATTTCACCCAAAAGCCACATATCCCAACTTTTTGTTAGTAGGGCTTTTAATTTTTTGCAATGATTTTTTTTCCTTCTTGGTGCAACATCAGAAAAATAACTAAGAAAAATGCAAACTTAAAACTCTCTGTTCAGGAAAAATCTTGCTATTAATCTGTTCATTTTCAGGAGTCCCCGTCTTTAGAAGAAAAGAACTCAACCTGAAGAAAAATGACTWTTATTTCATATTTAAAATGTTGAAATGCTAGTTTTGTTGAAACAAATTTGTTAAAATGTACTGAATCCCTCTAAGTTGAAAGATTTTTTTGTGTAAATTCCAATATTAGAACTTCTCTGTTCCTTTTGAAAAGTCAGAGTATTGTATTCCTAATTTATCAAAGTAAATAAAATTATTCAAAAACAAGTTTCAGTATTTTTWTTGCTCTGTTGCTGCTCATGGATGGAGGACTGAAACTGACAGTTAAAAATAAAGGTAGAAACTTATAAGTGGACCAATAAATAAATTTTCTTAAAATTCACCAATTAAAGAGAACTTGTTTGACAATTTGACAATTCATATTTTTTATTTGTACATGGATTTGTCTATCAAACGTACCCACTCCCAATAAGTTATTTCCTTGTTTTACATTTGTGTCTTGTTTATACTTTGTCATGCAAACATTTTCCCTGAAAGGGACACAATTAAAATCCAACTGAAGGCCAAATGCAATAATATAACGAAATGCAAATACTCAAGTAAAGTTGTTTTGTTTTTTTTATGATTAAGCTAGCAGCCAGTGTGGTTGCCCACTTTTTTTTTTCTCAGACCATGGTCATGGAGAAAATTAAACGAATGCTTGGGCAGCAAAGGCTCATGGGACTTTACATAATTTAAAATTTGATTGTGTTCTTATAAGGTGTGCAAATCTAGATATGGGCTTAAATCTAATCTAAATGTCTCTTGTTACTTGTATTTTATATTTAATCTTAACATAATGCAAAGATTAAGTGAGTACCATTTACTAAGACTACCTGACTAAAGCTCCTTAGTTGGACCAATGATTGAACAGACTAAATAGAAATGGTGTTTCTGCGTAAGACAGGAGATTACAATCTAATRACCAGGACAACTRGTGGGCAAAATGAAATGGGATCCCACTTTGGGCACCTCTGAATGCATTTCTGTCTGATTATGCAAACAAGGTGGGCTGTCCTTGGGTCAGCTCTTCTATCAGACAGGAAGGAACAAGATCCATGTGCAGTTGTGCATGTGTGCACAAAGGAGACAAATGCATCTACAAGTAAAAGGAAAACTATATACTTTATTAAAAACACATTTAAATTGTGCTGTATAATTGGAGCTAAGCTGGAAATACAAGATCAGTTAAATTATAGAACATGGAGTTTTTTTTAATTGGTGCGTTTTAAATGTGTGTATTAGTCAATTTCTGCTTTTATTTCTAATTATGACAGATTTGGTCTTCCATACTCGTGAAGCAATGCRTTCCTCTGCTCTTATTCATTTGAAATGGCAAGCCCTAATAATAAACCAGAAGAATCCTTTTTAAACATAACTTTTGTGAATGCTTTAGCTGTTTATGGTGCAGAGCTTAATGAATGGAGGATTGCATTACAGGTAGACTCWCATTACTGGTTAAAGAACTAAGGTTGATTAAATCTGCCTCCRAAGGTGAGGAAGGGCTGCACACTGATTGGTCAAGATGATTGTCATGAAACATTTATTCCTTGAAATAATTTTGACATCCAGGTTTATGCTTGTTTTCTTCCAAAGAGCCCCTAAATTTATTTCAAACAGTTCAGGTTGTGCTCCAAAACAAAGTGATGGCTGAAATTGTGAGGTAGTCGAAGCAACACGACTCATTAAAGGGAATTGGTTTATTTGATGTGAGGRAGAAAATATTAACTAAGTGGTGTACATGAGCGTTCAGACTTGTTTTGAAGAGTAACTGCTTGTTCCTGCAGGTTTTGAATTTATTTACTCTGTTAAACTGTTTTTTATCAGTACCAGTTTGTTTTAGGTGATGCACTAATCCCAAAAATGAAAATAACTTTAATTCCATGCTGCTCTTCACAACCACATAGTTCTTTTAGCTCAGCTGAAATTTGTTCACTAAGCAGTTATGATTCAGTCCATTAAGAGGATGTGATAACCAAAACAGAATTCTCCAGAGTTTATGGCCATCACTGAACGCCAGCGGAGTGCAACACAATGTTTCAGAAAAGTTGCAGTTGACTTAAGGAGAAGATATAATTTAAAAATGGATCTGAGATTAAATCCAGATTGATTCAGTAACAATGAGACTGAAACAGGACAGACTAATGAAGTCAAAAACTTTTAAAAGCAAAACAGACCCGTTTGAGAAGGATTTGATTTATTGAAATTTGATGCAGGAAATTTTAGAAACCATGTAAAAACAAGGGGCTGATTAAGTCATTCTCATTTAAAGATACTGTATGAAGTTGTCAAAATGAACACCTCCAGTGTTCACCATCTCATTTACTGACACAAAGCTTCTTAAAAATAATCCTATGAAAATTTATTTTTTTATTTCAAAGTCTCTATCATTCTTCTCAAACCATGCATAAAATTAACCCAAAAATAAGGAAATTTGTTTAGTAGATTATTTCATTGTTGTAATAATGCTTCTTGGTAATAAGTCTTACATTGTTGGAAAACCTGTTAAATTCCCTTTAAATGATGCCACATTTGTAAGGAATGTGCACTTGTGGGATGAGCAGTAGAGTTGAATGTGTGTGTTGTGCGACTGATAAATTTGCCAAACCCTCTCTGCCACTGACTCCTTTGGTGGACTGGATGATTGAAGTTTGAAGAAACAAGATTGCCACTGTTTGCAGAATTTCATCCCAATCTCTGCATCGAGACTCCCTCCAAAGACGACGAGCCTCGTTTTTCCAGGGAGTTGCTGCTCCACAATCTTCTCCACTYTCACTCCATGATCAAACTGCTGTACAGGCAGAATCTGGACTCACTGCTGAACATAGCTTACCAGATCTTCAGGTTCCAGTGCACATGTTGCTGACACCAGCGCGAACGGGCTCAGTGACGAAGGGCAGTCATGGCTGGCCTAGTTTCTGATGAGAACAGAGATTGGCTGTGGGCAGTCTGTTTCAGATTGGACAGAGGGATGTCAGCCATACAGCCCTGCAAACCTTCACTGCAGATCTGTAGAAGACAGCCTATGGTACCTAAATTGCTGAGAGGGTGAGGAAACACACTTCTTGTCTCTGACATATATGGAACAGAGATGGTACTGGCTTGCTTCAAATAATGCAGCAGCCTAGTTTTACAGAACACCAGATTGAAGTTGGCCTGTTGCTGCAGGGCCCTGTCCAGATCAGCCAAACGTGACATGTCAGCAGGGCCCATGTAGGGCACTAGAGGTTTAAAACAAGTGTCACTGGCCAGTGTTGTACTTTATACAAGTATCTTATCATAAAATGACTTTGGTAAATGTTAGTCTCTTCTAAGAATATCTAGTGAAAGTCCTAAAGTATTTGACATACACTGTACTTAAGTATCAAAGGTAGATTTCTGATATAAATGTTCTGAAGTATTAAAACCAAAAGTGAGCGGTTAGAATTTTCAAAATATTTATCAGGAGGTGGCCTCCCCAAAAAAACTTTTTTCTAAAGGCCATAATATTATTTTAGAATGTTTTTGTTGAAAAATTTGGGATACACTCATCTACCTGTTTCAGCTGTGTGTGTGCACCATCTTCATACTGTACTACAGAGGTCTGATGTGTCCTGTTGGAGTGTGACATAAACCAATCCGGTGTCAGAAATGTCTAATGACAATTAAATTCACTAAGGAGGTGCAATGTATTTGGATAGTTTTTTTTATTTACAAGCCAGAATAAAATGGGAGTAATGTTTTTCTTCTTATCTTTTTTATGTAAGGAGTAAAAAGTACAGATAATTGTGTGAACATGTAAGGAGTGGAAGGCAGTGCTTTACTCAAAGTACAGAAAACCAAAATTTATGCTGTACTGTACTTCATTTATGTCATTTATGTTTTATGAATTATTTATTTATTATCATTTATGTACTTATTTAAGTACTGTAACAAATTATTTGTACTTAGATACTTTGCAAGATTTGGCAAAGTTTTCATATGTGCAACCCACCTATTCCACGCTACTACTCATCCCACAAATGCATGTTCCTTACAAATGTGGCACCATTTCAAAGGGAATGCTTCCCGACAACATAAGACCTACAAGAAGCATTGTTACAAAGACAGAATACCAAACACAAATTTCCTTAAATTTTGTGCCTAGTTTAGTTTCCTTGCTGATTTGGAAACAAAGATTTAACCGGAGAAGCTTTGTCTAAAAATGCTAGAAAAATCAGGAGTCACCAACATGGACAGAATCAAAGTTAGGTCAAAGAAAACCCAGCTGTTCAGTCACACAAACATTCCACTGGTGTACGATGTTTTAAACAGATTAAAGTCTGAAACATTTAAATTTAGAAACAGTGAAACCAACCCGAAGTACTTGGGCTTACAAGGAAAATACATTTTTTTAAAATAAAAAACAAAACAAAACACTGAATATTGTGTTAAAGAGGGAACTTTGAAGCTCATTCTCCTAAAAACAAACTGTAAACAGAAGGAAAATAAAATATCATTTACAGACAGAACTCTGCGGGGGTAAATAAACCACTAATGATATTTGACAGAAAGTAATGAAGTTCAGGCTCTTCTCCTTTCTACCAGCAGATGGCGCCTGTTTGACGTGATGTTTTCCTGCTGGATTGGAGCCGGGCCTCACCTCATCGTTTCAGAGGAAACAACCCATCTGGACCGTGCGTGGGCCACAGCTGAGCCCCCCAGTGATGAAGCTCGGTGCCAAGCTCCCCTCTGCAGTGAGCTGACTGGGAGTGTTTGGGTGTCGGACTGGAAAGGCGTGGCAGTGGGCTGAACCACCCCAGGGTCCACTGACCTGGGATGAGCTGAGGCCCTGAAGCAGCCCGACAAAGAAGAGCTGGTGTCACCGTGTCTCTGGTCTTCCCCTGCTCCACCCGAACACGGCCCGGGGCTGTGGGCGCGCCACGCCGCGGACACGGTGCTGAGGATGTGCTGAGGTGAGATACTGCTGCTGCTGCTGCCGCTCGGGGCTTATTCAGGTCCAGACAATGATGGGGAAACGACTGGGCGTTGTTTGGTGTCCTCCTGGCGCGTGCAGGAGCTGTGTGCGCGCTCTTTACCATCATCATGTCTGAGAAGATGCTGTCCATGTCCTGCTGCTGTTTACAGTGCTGTACAAGGACATTAAAAGGAAAGGGGAGAGAAAAATATAAATAAATAAAAAATGCGATCATTGTTCCGCTTTCTGTCGCGCGCATAAGCTTATATCGCACACGCTTCTGTAAAACTGAGAAATTCTAACAATCCTTTTATAACAATTAATAATGATCTCTTGTATTTGGGTTGTGCTGCAGAGKGAAGCAGTCTGTGATGTCGGCGCTTCCGCCTCGTTGTGATGGGGCTCTTTTTGTTTGTTTTGGTTTTGGCTCCTGCGGGTCCATCAGGGCTCCGGACTGTGTCTGATGGACTCTTTATTAGAAAGTCGAACTGAGCCTTTCTGTGATTTATTTTTCTTTCTTTCCCTGAAGACGTTCGTGCCGGTGCGGCGCTGAGCCGAGCTGCCGCCGCTGCCTCAGCCTGCAGAGCTGGAAGCCATTATCGCATCCTGCTGGTGCTGGTGCTGATGCTGCAGCGCGCGACTGTTGCTAAGCAGCCATGCGGCGCGCGCGGGCCGCTCTCGGGATGAGGAATGGAATCTTTTGTTGTTGKTGGTGTTTAAAGGAGGGGCTGTGGAGTGAGTTTTGAAGAGCTCTGTTGTGTGTGAGCTCCGCTTTGAATACCGACTGTGATAGAAATTAGTTGAGTTTTTAAAGATCAGAAGTCTGAATCGATCCTGACTAATTTAATTTTGCCCCTCTGAAGTGGGCTTCTGTAAAAGTTATTAACCATGAATATCTAACAGCCTCAGTTCAGAGAAACTGTGACTCTAACCATTGATGAACGTATTTTTCTACATTTTAAAAATGATTCCAGTAACTTCCACAGTGGTTCTTTGCAAACACTATTTTTGTAGACATATCACACCAACACATTACATAATTAAATAAAATGAGATAATTATTAGAAAAAACTATAGTGAGATTAGGCAGCTCTTGTCCTTTCTGGGGTCTGAACAGGCAAGGATGGTGTAATGTTTCACTGAAATCAATGTGGAATGCAACACTGATAATGTGTTAAAGTTTAAATGTCAGTATTTGCATGAACTGCTATATTTTTTTGACTACCAGTTTGTTTTCTTTTAAATCTCAAATTTTGCTTTGGAAAGGTCTGTTTGGACAACATGTCTGTGTGGGCCTAATTCTAAGCTGGATTTTGCTGTTTGTAAAGGACTTTTTTTCTTTCAAATTTCACAACTGTTTGCTAATTTTACATCACCCTAAGTTTGCTTTGCACAGTCATGTTGGCAGAAATATTGCAAAATTCCTGTCAGATTTGACCCCAGGCTGTACCAGAAGTGTTACATCTTCCAACTRCTGTTTGTGCTCAAATTCACCATAAAATATGTATATACTGAGAGTGGTGTGAAGGAAAACAACATTCCCATATCTTTTAGTTTTTTTTATGATTTGGTCAAACATTTGTATTAGGCTCAATCACACAGCTAACTCAGTTTTTTTGTTCAGACTTGATTTTTTTTTTTTGTATTTTTTTTGTGTGTGGTTGTTCACACAATATAATTTAAATGTGACCAACCCCAGTGTGAGCAGTGCACAGCTCTGAAGTTACCTACATGTGCAGATTGTGTGATGTCGCACACTGTGTGCTGTGTGTACAGAAGCAAAGATGAATGCTACATTAGCATGTGGATCCATTCTGAAGTAGCTGTGGAATAGGGACAACTAAATTATCTGCTCTGCTTGTTTTGTCCAATGTTTACGTTTCATCTTGCAACTTCTCACATGGTCCTGTAACAAATGATATTTGGAGCAGAAACGATGTATTGAAAGAAATAAACTCAAGTATCAATCTGATCATGCTATTATCGATACTATCCTTAATTTATTTAATAGGGACAGACACACATCGACATAGACAAACTGAATAAAACAGCAGTCCCRTGTTTGCATCATGGCGCAATAGCAACAGCTAATTCGCAGCACTTGTCCCTAGATGGGCTTTTAAAAAAAAAACTCTAAAAATTGAAATGATAATCAGTTAAAATAGCACAACATACTATATACAAACAGTGAAATGTAATACATCAAAAGTGAGTACAGGTCTGTTTTTGACGTAACCAGAGTTTTGTTTGGTTTTTGAACATTCTAAAACTGGTTACAGACTTTAAATTAACAGGAAGTGAATTCCAAATTGTAGATCCTCTCACAGACAGAGCACTGTGATGATGTCCAATGATGATGGTGTACAGTTTCATGACATGACAAATCTGGAAAGTTGAAAGAGGATGAAGCAAATGRAATTCTGTTGACCTGAAGACCTGAATGAATTTGTTTTCTCCAACCTCAATGATGTAAAATGTGTAAGGAAATGTGACTTGACTTGTGACTGTGTTGGACTTGCGACCTGTCCAGGGTGTACCCCACCCCTTGCACAGTGACTGCTGGATATGGGCACCAGTGACCCTGAGAGGAAAAAGCGGGTAAAGATAATGGATGGGTGGATGGATGGACTTGACCATTCAGACTGCAGTTCCCCACATATKTAAAAGACATGGGTTGGGTTTGAAAAKAGTATTTTCCATGTTCAGACTGTCACGATGATATGGGTCACATACTGGATGCCCACATAATGGTCCCTGCAGTGAACAGCCATTTACAAGTCTTTGTGCACATAGGTTTTTTATGCTATAACTACATGGACCACAAAGTACGCACTATTATACATTATGTAATATACTGCAGACTACTGGCCATCCACTGCAAGTGCAACAAATTTCCTCAAATTCAAGATGGTCATCAGAGAGCAAATCATGGTGAGCAGATTGGCAATTTCCTGTTAGTCCAAGAAGATTTCTGCAGTTAAAAAAATATGGAAACATCAAGTAGCCACTAAAGAATAACGGTGCTTTTATTTTTTCTAGATATTAACCTGTATTGGGAGAAAATTACAAATTGATCCCCTGCACTAAATTGGACGTAATGCATCAGTGGCTATATTTCAACAGTAATTTATACTATTACTCTGACTGTAATATGCACCATCTGCAGCAAGTGTTTTAGCAAAAAATAAACTGCTTACATCTTAATACGTAACTTGAAAAGTTTTTAAAGAAAGAAAAGGGCATTGTTTCCAATATCAGAGTAACAATAAAGCTTTATGTTTCATAGAGCTCAGATAGAGTTCATAGAAAAGCCTACAAGATAGTGTAGCTACTGACTCAAGTGAGGATGAATCTAGAAGATTTGATGAGTGGTTGTCTGAAAAGAACTGGAAAATTAAAAGTAATGATGGTTAGGGTTATTACATTATTTTAAAATCTCAAAATGTGTGCTGTTTAAACACTTTGGAAAAAAATCCTGGCTGAAGTTAACATAATACATGCATGAAAGTGTTCAATTAAAGCATTAAACACCCAAAAACTACATACAGAGCTGTTTAAATAAAGTGTAGACATTACTGCCATTACCTTTAGAAAACAAGATGTGCAAAAGAAATATAGTTTATTAAGATCAAGGAGTTTAAACAGCAGCAATCCACTTTGTTTTTGGCTGYGTTTGCTCATCAGTCCTGTCAGAAWGAAACTGTTCCAACAAACTGAGGCTGCTTATAAAGCTAAGACGTTAAATGTTGATGACTTTTACACAACACTCCACTTCAYACGACCCAAATCTCTGTGCTTTATCAAAATAACTATGGAACAGGCAGAAAATCAAAAGTTACTCAGCAGAGTGCWCTTAGTAGCTTTCTCCAGTTTAGTTCCTGTAGTTACAGCAAAGAAATGGCTCYTTTATTTTAAATGGACACAGTCACTGGACTACGCCTCAGGCTCCATTTCATTTGATCCTTAAAGTACTTTTTACTTTCGGATTATTTATTTATATTTAGCACACTTTGGTGAGATGGAAGTCAACTCTGCCTTTTAAAGAGCATACAGACCCTGCACTGCAAAGAATCCAAAATATTCACTGTACATCYATGAATCATGGAGGAAGATGTTAGAGGCTGCCCTCTATCAAATGTTTTACATTTGGCTTCACTTATTGAGCTAAATAAAGACAATATGCTTGTTTAAGAAACATGTTGTGCCATTTAGTTTTTTMATTTCATTTTGCAATATTTTAGTTAGAATATAATGTCTTGTTAAATTTGGTTTGTAATCTACAAATAAAACTAGATGTCCTCAGTTGCATGAAAGGAGAAAATATTTGTAAAAGAAGCTAAGACCATTAAAAAAACTTCCCATAAACACTTCCTGATTATTTAAAAAATATGTAAAGATTTTTTTTTACAAAACCAACAAAAGGGCCTTTTAAACAACCATTGCTGTTAATGAATAGCTTATCACGAT